TGGGTGCATATATATTTAGGATAGTTAGCTCTTCTTGTTGAATTGACCCCTTTACCATTATGTAATGGCCTTCTTTGTCTCTTCTGATCTTTGTTGGTTTAAAGTCTGCTTTATCAGAGACTAGGATTGCAACCTCTCCTTTTTTATTGTTTTCCATTTGCTTGGTAGATTTTCCTCCATCTCTTTATTTTGAGCCAATGTGTGTCTCTGCATGTGAGATGGGTCTCCTGAATACAGCACACTGATGGTTCTTGACTTTTTATCCAATTTACCAGTCTGTGTCTTTTAATTGGAGCACTTAGCCCATTTACATTTAAGGTTAATATTGTTATGTGTGAAGTTGATCCTGTCATTATGATGTTAGCTGATTATTTTGCTCATTAGTTGATACAGTTTCTTCCTAGCATCAATGGTCTTTACAATTTGCCATGTTTTTGCAGTGGCTGGTACCAGTTGTTCCTTTCCATGTTTAGTGCTTCCTTCAGAAGCTCTGGTTAGGCAGGCGTGGTAGTGACAAAATCTCTCAGCATTTGCTTCTCTGTAAAGGATTTTATTTCTCCTTCACTTATGAAACTTAGTTTGGCTGGATATGAAATTCTGGGTTGAAAATTCTTTTCTTTAAGAAGGTTGAATATTGACCCCCACTCTCCTCTGGCTTGTAGAATTTCTGCTGAGAGATCTGCTGTTAGTCTTATGGGCTTCCCTTTGTGGGTAACCTGACCTTTCTCTCTGGCTGCCCTTAACATTTTTTCCTTCATTTCAACTTTAGTGAATCTGATAATTATGTGTCTTTGATTTGCTCTTCTCGAGGAGTATCTTTGTGGTGTCCTCTGTATTTCCTGAATTTGAATGTTGGTCTGCCTTGCTAGGTTGGGGAAGTTCCCCTGGATAATAAGAGTGTTTTCCAACTTGGTTTCATTCTTCCTGTCACTTTCTGGTACACCAATCAGACGTAGATTTGGTTTTTTCACATAGTCCCATATTTCTTGGAGGTTTTGTTCATTTCTTTTTCCTCTTTTTTCTCTACACTTCTCTTCTTGCTTCATTTCATTCATTTGATCTTCAATCACTGATACCCTTTCTTCCAGTTAATCAAATCGGCTACTGATGCTTGTGCATGTGTCACATAGTTCTCATGCCATGGTTTTTCAGCTCCATCAGGTCATTTAAGGTCTTCTGTGTATGTTGTTTATTCTAGTTAGCCATTCGTCCACTATTTTTTCAAGGTTTTTAGCTTCTTTCCAATGGGTTCGAACATCCTCCTTTAACTCAAAGAAGTTTGTTGTTACAGATCTTCTGAAGCCTTCTTCTCTCAACTCATCAAAGTCATTCTCAATCCAGCTTTGTTCTTTTGCTGGTGAGGAGCTGCATTCCTTTGGAGGAGAAGAGGTGCTCTGATTTTTAGAATTTTCAGATTTTCTGCTCTGGTTTCTCCCCATCTTTGTGGTTTTATCTACCTTTGGTCTTTGATGATGGTGATGTACAGATGTGGTTTTGGTGTGGATATCCTTTCTGTTTGTTAGTTTTCCTTCTAACAGTCAGGTCCCTCAGCTACAGGTCTGTTGGAGTTTGCTGGAGGTCCACTCCAGACCCTGTTTGCCTGGGTATCACCAGCAGAGGCTGCAGAACCGCAAATATTGCAGAACGGGAAATGTTGCTGCCTGATCCTTCCTCTGGAAGCTTCGTCTCAGAGGGGCACTCGGCTGTATGAGGTGCCTCCAAGTTAGGCTACTGGGGGTTCAGGAACCCACTTGAGAGGCAGTCTGTTCATTCTCAGATCTCAAACTATGTGCTGGGCAAACCACTACTCTCTTCAAATCTGTCAGACAGGGATGTTTAAGACTGTAGAAATTTATGTTGCCTTTTGTTCAGCTATGCCCTGCCCTGAGAGGTAGCATCTACAGAGGCAGGCAGGCCTCCTTGAGCTGTGGTGGGCTCCACCCAGTTCGAGCTTCCCAGCCACCTTGTTTACCTACTCAAGCCTCAGCAATGGTGGGCATCCCTCCCCAGTCTCACTGCCGCCCTACAGTTTGATCTCAGACTGCCGTGCTGGCAGTGCGCAAGGCTCCGTGGGTGTGGGACCCTCTGAGGCAGGTGTGGGATATAATCACCTGGTGTGCCATTTGTTAAGACCTTTGGAAAAGTACAGTATTAGAGTGGGAGTAACCCAATTTTCCAGGTGCTGTCTGTCATGGCTTCCCTTGGCTAGGAAAGGGAATTCCCCAAGCCCTTGACCTTGCTGGGTGAGATGATGCCTTGCCCTACTTTGGCTTACAGTCCATGGGCTGCACTCACTGTCCTGCACCCACTGTCCAACAAGCCCCAGTGAGATGAACCTGGCCTCAGTTGGAAATGCAGAAATCACTCGTCTTCTGCATCACTCATGTTGGGAGCTGTAGACTGGGGCTGTTCCTGTTCGGCCATCTTTGAGCCTCCCTTTTAAGTTATTTTTAAAAGCAATTAACTGGAACTCTTTTACACATTTTTAGTAGTGAGACATCTTATACAGGACACATAAATACAAAGATGTATTAGACATGTAGATAGAAGTGAATTTCACAGATTCATAAGACCTCTATTTTGTCTCCTATTTAAGACTTCCCATTTCTTGATAACTTATTTTATTCCCCTAGGCAATTGTCAGTGAGATAGCCCTAAATCTGCATGTTAAGGTAACTATTAGGTGAAAAATCAGGTATCAAAATTTATATCTCAAAGTACAGAGAGAGTCTGTTTCTGCTAGAGGGGGATTAAAAATGGATGCCAAATCAAACAAAAATTATAGAAATATATCATAGAATTGTATAAGGAGACCAGTTTTATTTAGATAGGCACTACCTATCTCTTAACTGGATCTTTGAACTCTAGGCAAAGCTGACACTTCAGGGTTCAACCTGGGTCTCCAAAAAAGGAGAATTAGTATGAGGCTAGTATGTGTTGCTTTTACAATGCACTTGAAAAAGAATTTTTTTAAACAGAGACATTTCTAAGTGTCTAAATTACACTATCCCTTAAAAACTCAAGAGTAGCCTCTGCTATTATAACTGTTTTAGTAAAAAAATCAGGTAACACAATACAATAGTAAGCAGTTTAAGATCTGAGAGAAACTTGTTTGTTTACACCATTGGGGTTCCATAAAGATAAAAAGTTTCTCCCCAAAAGGGAGTCTGGCACCTTCTCTGTTTTCTTTAAGGAATCCCAGGGTACAGTTTAAATCCATTGTTTCTTTGTTGACTTTCTGTCTTGATGACCTGTCTAGTGCTTTCAGTGGAATATTGAAGTCCACCACTATTATTGTGTTGCTGTCTATTCCATTTCTTAGATGTAGTAGTAATTGTTTTATAAATTTGAGAACTCCAGTGTTAGGTGCACATTTATTTAGAATGGTGACATTTTTCTGTTGGACAAGACCTTTTATCATTATATAATGTCCCTATTTGTCTTGTTTAACTGCTGTTGCCTTAAAGTTTGTTTCCTCTGAAATAAGAACAGCTAGTCTTGCTTGCTTTGGTGTCCACTTGTATGGAATGTCTTTTTCCACCTTTTTACTTTAAGTTTACATGAGTTGTTAAGTAATAGGTGAGTCTCTTGAAAGCAGCAGACAGTTGGTTGGTGAATTCTTATCCATTCTGCAATTCTGTATATTTTAAGCACAGCATTTAGGATATTTACATTCAATATTAGTATTGTGATGTGAGGTACTATTCCATCATAGTATTTGTTGCCTGTATACCTTGTTTTTTTAAACTGTATTTTTGTTTTATAGGTCCTGTGAAATTTATGCTTTAAAGAGGTTCTGTTTTGATGTGTTTCCAAGATTTGTTTCAAGATTTAAAGCTGTCTTTACCCATTCTCATATTGCTGGTCTGGTAGTGGCAAATTCTCTCAGCATTTGTTATGAAGTTTAGTTTTGCTGGATACAAAATTTTTGGCTGATAATTGTTTTGTTTAAGGAGGCTGAAGATAGGCCCCAATCCCGTCTAGTTTGTATAGTTTCTGCTGAGAAACTGCTGTTAATCAGATAAGTTTTCCATTATAGGTTATCTAGTGCTTTTGCCTCACAGCTCTTAAGATTCTTTTCTTTGTCTTGGCTTTAGATAACCAGGTGGCAATGTACCTAGGAAATTATCTTTTTGCAAAGAATTTCCCAAGTGGTTTTTGAGCTTCTTGTATTTGGATGTCTAGGTCTATAGCAAGGCTGGGGAAGTTTTCCTCGATTATTCCCCCAAATATGTTTCCCAAACCTTTAGATTTCTCTTCTTTGCCAGTAATGCCAATTATTCTTAGGTTTGGTCATTTAACATAATCCCAAATTCTTGGAGGCTTTGTTTATTAAAAAAATTTTTTTTCTTTGTCTTTGTTGGATTGGGTTAATTTGAAAACCTTGCCTTTGAGCTCTGAAGTTCTTTATTCTGCTTGTTCGATTCTATTGCTGAGACTTTCCAATACATTTTGCGTTTCTCTAAGTGTGTCCTTTATTTCCTGAAGTTGTGGTTGTTTTTTATTTATGCTACCTATTTCACTGAAGTTTTCTTCCCTTATATCTTATATATTTTTAAATTTCCTTAAATTGGACTGCACTTTTTTTCTGGTACCTCCTTGATTAGCTTAATGATCGAACCTCTGTATTCTTTTCCAGAGAAATCAGAAAATTCTTGATGTGGATCCATTTCTGGTGAGCTACTGTGACATTTTGGGGGTGTTAAAGAGCCTTGTCTTGTTATATTACCAGAATTGTTTATCTTGTTCCTTCTCATTTTGGTAGGCTGTGTCAGAGGGAAGATCTGGTTATTAAACACAGATCACAGGATGGTTGGGGGTCCCCTTGGTGCACCCTTTTGTCTCCTAGTCCCATGCCAGGTTGACTCATTGCCTCATTACTAGGTATAATTAAAGTACCTACCTGGAGAATGAATAGAGCAGTGTTGGGTGCACACCTCAACAGCAAATTCCTTGATCCCTGCCACACATGACTGAACACCATCAGCAGCTGCCTCACCATGAAGCTGCTGATGGTCCTCAGGCTGGCTGCCCTCCCCCTAAATCACTATGCAGGTGAATTCTGTGCAAAGAGGATTTTCCCTGGGATAGGGGTTATTGCCTAGGCCCCTGTGGAAGAGCACCTGGTTCTCAACACCCAGCACAGGTCAGCCCCAGTACAAAGGGTCTGGGTGTAATGGGCCTTAGGATCCTCATAATTTCAGACAATCATGCAGGCAGCTCTGTCCTGGGCTGTCCCCTGCATTGGAGCTGCATGCAGTGTCTCATGGTACTCAGTGTTCCACCATACACAGTGACCACAGAAACCAGGATAAGTCTCAGGATTGAATATTGGAATTAGCTATTTCAGTGGGGCAAGAGAGAGAGAAATATGAAGGCCTGATCACATCTGCATCTACGAACCACAAAATAATCACTGGTAACCTTGAATGTAGAAGAAAGTTGGAAACCTGCCAGGACAGAGGACCAGGCTGCAGAGTGTGACCCAGCGTCTTTCACCCTGTGGGGCTCACTCTGTGTTCTCATCCCAGCCCTCCTGGGATGCCCTTTCACTCCCAAGTTTTTTAGTCTCAAGGCAGACTGTTGGGGAGAACTCACACCCCATGGGGTCTCCTTCCAGCACTGAAGATCCAGTGAGAGGAAAAAGACCTGGCAGCCACAATCAGTGCTAATAGGTCCCGTATGTGGCCTGGCTTACGCAAGTCACAAAGCTTATTCACACACCCTGCCTCATTTGTTCCCAAAGTACATGCAGATGGGTGAAAATCTGACAAGCTCACAGTCAACTAAACAGAAAACAGCAGAGCCCAGAGCACAGACAGCTCATGAGAATCCAAGTCCTGCACTCTTTCCACCCCCATGGGGGCCAGCACCTCAGATACCTGCATGAGCAAAAGTTCTATTTCACATTCCTTGTTGATGCTGTTAAGAGTTAACAGAGCTAATGAACAATATCCTAGAACCATTCATCTGAAATCCTTGGGACCCCTACTTAATGCTGGAAATGATAACAGGGAAGCATTGCATGACTTTGAACCAAGAAAGGCCAAGCAGTTTTGCTGTGGCTCTCCAGTGAGAGCACCTTATTTCACAAAGGTCCTCTTCATCAAGAATACAAGACATTGGGCTTCTCTGGGCTTGGGGTCTTGGGAGCATTTGCAAAGCCTGAGTTTATGCTCCAAGAATTGAGAACCTGACACCCTGCACCATAATCTTTCTGAAGCTTAGTCTCTCCTGGGAGGTAAGAAGATGACCAGCCTCACAGCTCATACCCAACACGGGTTCACGCCTCTGGTGATGGCTCATGTTCTTGTGCCTTTTTCCTAGGTTCTGGCTGCCAACTGCTGGAGGATGTGGTTGCAAAGACCCTCAATCCTGAAGTGTCTATACCAGAATACACACAATTTTTACAGGAGTTCATAGACAGTGATGCCACTGCAGAGGTTGTAGGGGAACTTAAGTAGTGCTCCTCAACCAGTCAAGTAAATCTCTGAACAGTTTTGGAGTGATGATGGTAATTTAGTGTTTCTTTTAATGTGCCTTTGAAAAGTGGGCTCTAAATGTCTCACCAAGAATATTAAGCAACTATTAAGAAGCTTTCTTTCTTTCTTTTTTCTTTTCTTTTTCAGACAGAGTCTCACTCTGTCGCCCAAGCTGGAATGCAGTGGCGTGATCTTGGCTCACTGCAAGCTCCACCTCCTGGGTTCACACCATTTTCCTGCCTCAGCCTCCGAGTAGCTGGGACTACAGGCGCATGCCAACTCGCCTGGCTAACTTTTAGCATTCTTAGTAGAGATGAGGTTTCACTGTGTTAGCCAGGATGGTCTTGTTCTCTTGACCTCGTGATCTACCCACTTCAGCCTCCCAAAGTGCTGGGATTACAGGTGTGAGCTACTGTACCTGGCCAAAAAGCTTTCTTTATATATCAGTTAATTAAAATTTTTCCTTAGGGTGCTTTGCCACTACACTTTAAGAATCCTTTGTAAGTGATAAATGGAAACGGCAAAAGAGAGAAAAGAAAGATCCAGAAATGGCAAATCTAACCCTCACCTCCCCAGTCCATTCTCACACAGACAGAAACACACAAATACACTCACATAGACACACACACACAGGGACAGACACACACAGATTTTCTATCAAAAGAAAATATATGATTTTTAAGGAGCCACTCATTTGCAAGAACAACTAACACAAAAATTTTCCTCTTTCACAAAAACAAGCAGTAAAATCTTCCTTATACTTCTTTTATGGAGTGCAGAAAATACCGTTTGTGCAACTTCTATATATCCTAATGTAAAGAATTTAAATTTGATGTCCAGGCAACCAAGATTTCTTAGTATACATGATTGGAAATCAGGTACCATTTAATTAACCACCTCATGGAAAAGGAAATGCAGATCATAGGTGTTAAACAGTATGAGTGCCAGAATTTTTCAAAACAAAAGTCGGTGGTTATAACAATGAGTATTTCTGTGTATTTATAAGTACACATTGTTTATAGAATTTTTTTAATCATTTAGTTAATATGTCAAAAATTCCAATTAAAATATTCCATGATAGAAAATCTAGAGATATACCAAAAATATGGTAAGATCATTTTTTTCTTAAAATATCCATATAAGACTCATCATTCTCTAGTCCACAATGAGCTTGTCGTACAATATTTTGCAGCTCATTAAGGTAACGATGGAGTGTGTCAGACTGTTACAGTATTTCTCACTTTTATGGCCATACAGCAACTCAAAACCAACACATCTTGATTTGAGATCAGATTTTAACAATCCTGTGTTGAAAATATGACATAAGAAACAGTTCAAATTGGAGGACCTTCAACAAATAGTACTTGTGGCATATTTTTTGAAGAAATAATTTCAAAGAACAGGATTATTGGAACAAAAATTATTAACAGGATTACTGGAAAAAATATTATTTAGGAACATTTCCTTGCCAATCAGTGGCAGGCAAATGTTTCTCAAACATTGGCCCCTGTTTGGCTAAGTATCTCCTGAATGACAGAATAAATGGAGAGGAAATTCTGGTTTTGCTTTCAGTGTTAATTTTCCTGGGTATTAGATGTTTGTGGACAAATGCAAGAAAACAACAAGAAGACAAATTTCTGGATTTCAATATTTGACTTTATAAGAGAGACTTGCAAATCCAAGTGACCTACCTGTTTTGGTTTTCCAACAAACCATGTACAGCAGCATTTGGTGTAGGGACTTCTAACTTTTCCCAAGACTTTTGGCTCAGAGGGTGGTCTGTACCTGACTGCTGATTGCTAGATACCACAAATTTTCTTTTGTATTTTGTCCTTTTTTGTGGAAAGTGTAAGAGAATTGCTGAAACTTCAAATTCATGTTCTTTTCAGTAAACTAACTGCAAGTCCCTAAAGTTCTTCTTTTTTCTCCCACAGCAGAAGAGGCTTTCCAGACATCACACTCACAGGCCTTGAAGGAGTTGGTGTTGTGGGATAATTTAGGAATCAGAGAGACTGAGGGGTTGAGGAAGATTTATTATTTAGGTGCCCTGGCCTAGTCAAATTAACATCTAAAAAGACAGCCCCAAGCAAAAAGTCAGGTTATCTCAAGCATTTCGTGGGGCAGGGGGAGATCTGTGTAGGGGGAAGCATATTACAGAAGCAAGAAACAAAGACTGTTATTCAATTAATTGAGACATGCATTACAACATTTCTTACTTTTCAAGGAAAAACATGTTTTACGACTTGAGTTTATCTGTCTAGTGACCTTGTAGCTGCACAGCTAGAGAAACAGAGTCTTCACAATCCCTGGGAAAGGGAGAGATAAGGCTCTCTAGCCACAGAAAAACAGGCAGTTGATTTTTAAAGAACTCCAGCTCTTTCTCTTTCTCTTTCTGTCAGGGTTGTGGGGGAAAGCCGGCAGTCACAGGCCTCACCCAGCTCCCACACAATCCAAAGGGCTGGTCTCACTCCCACCGTGCCCACCCAACAGCACCAAATGTGTTTCCAGGCAGTGGGTGAGCAAGGCTGAGAACTTGCCCCACGCTGCCCTCAACTGGAAAATCAAATATGGCTTTCTTTCTTCTCCGTTCGTGAAGTCTGCACACCAGATTCAGGCCCTCCCCTGAGTCCTGGCCAGGAGGCTTCTTGTTCAGTTCAAATTGTTACAAAGTTCAGCTGGAGATTTCCTTCTTTCTGTGGTCTTTCCCTGCACTTCTGGCCAACTCCTGAAGGACCTCCGTGAGGCCAGGCAAAAACAGTTTGCTAGGGGACCCAGCAAACTCCCAGGGCTTTTCCCACTGCTTCCTGTACCCCTGTATTTTGCTTGACTCTCTAAATTGACTCAGGTTCAGGTAAGGTCAAAATCTACATAATCTAGGCCTTCAGATTCCCCAGTAGGGGTGTGTGCTTGGGGGTGGATGATTTCTCTTTCCCACTTCCACAGTTTGGGCACTCACAGTATTTGAAGTGTCTCCCAGGTTCTGCAGGAGCAATCTGCTCCCTTCAGGGGACTGTGGGTACTCTCAGGTTTCCTGTTTTATTCCTGCAGTCATTCTGAAGCAAAAATTCACTATTTGAGCCTCCACATGCTGCTCTGTTTGTCTGAGTTGGAGTTGCCATCTACTTCTGCCTCCTGTCTGCCATGATCCCCAGGTCCATGTCACTGAACTCTGTGTACCTTTGTTCCTTGATTTCACTATTTACCTAACTTACTCAGAATCTTAGTAGTGACCCTTTTGTTGAATTGATTCACAATGTCTGAGGTCCACCCCCTGCAAATAATTTGTAAACCAGTGTTCCAACTTCTAATTACAGGGAGAAATGGGAGAGCCAAGAAGCTTGAAAATTGACGTCCTTGGAACAGCTCTATTTAGGCAAACTAACATAGAAACCCAAATTAAGTTTAGAAAGTAGACTGTAGACTCCAGCAAAACAGACTGAAATGAACACCAATGATATTAATATGTTTATCTCACGTTTAGTGCACACCTGCTATGTACAAGCATAATGTTGGGTTCTTTGTTGGCTGCACAGTTGAGTCACTGATGAAGTCCACCTCTCTAAATGAGAATTTGGTTCATAGGGATTATGGACCAGCAGATATGATGCTGCCAGTCCCTGTCTCAGAATCCGTTATTCTCCGGGTATTGACTATCTTTACCATTGTCACCGTTATCCCTGAAATTGGGTGATAGCTGCCATTTCCCACGGTAATTAGAAAAGTCTTTTCTGTGGGTGTTTTGAGGTGTTTTAAGTTGTTTCCCACTCTATGTTTTTTATAAGCATAAAGTTGCTCCAAATTGTGGAGAAGAATTGTCAGTTTCTTTATATCTTTTCCTATTTCCTGTATATTTTTATCACCCTTTCTCCTTTGCTCCCAATCCTCAGAGAAAAATCTATCTTTGTCTTGGGTGAATTATTTTTGTTCCCTGGTCCATTGGAGTCCCTGGCACCATCCACAGCCCCTAGCATGGGAGGCGCTCTGGATGTGAGGGCATTAAAACTGGTCTCAGCCTGTTTTTACTGCAATGTAGGACAGACACTAATACTTATGTTTGCATGTGGGTAGAAGGTGGATATGCTAAAAATGATCAGGAGACATCAGGGCTTTTACAAACACAGTACTAGTGTCCTAAACTCTTGATCCCTCAGTAGAGATGGGGAAAGTAGATTTTACACCCTTCCTTGGTGAATCTCTGGCAGCTGAAAAATCACCAATTATTGATCCCTGATTCACAAAACCCTCCTTTACCACTGGTGAGCAAATCACAGATGCCAGACTTCTAGGAATTTCTGACATAAGAAGTCAGAAATTGACTTCTTATGGACCAAATGTGAAACCACTCAAGATTTCTAGTCCACAATGAGCTTGTCGTACACCCTACAAACTTCTCAAATCACTGCTATGTTGCTCCAACTCACAAGATAGGTCCTGTCTGCCTCTAAATAGAGCTAGAGATTTCACAGGAACTTCATTTCTCCCTGGCACTTAGGATTCACAGAACATTTACTTTGTGCCTGGTTATTATCAACTCTCTCACCACACCTACACCTACACACACACACACACACACACACACACACACAGAGGCTGGATCCTACTCCCTAGACAAAAGGAATGGCAGTTTCACTAACCTTCATTTCAATCACTTATAGTTTCTACCCTGCCCCTAGAAGTCCATGTTGCTCAGTTCTGAGAATGCACTGTGATCAGGTCTGTCTGTTTTCATCATATGCAAAGTTGTTAACAGTTGACTATTATTCCAGCCTAGACCTTTTCTTCATTTCATACCCTCCAAACACCCTACTCTGAGTGCCTGGTTTAGATAATCATTTTCCATGTTCTCATAATTTTTTAATCACAGCTCCATCCAACCAATGAGCTCATCTAAATAGAAGACCTTTGTAGGTGCTCAACTGCATTCAGTACAACGGAGATATCTTTATGGGTCTGCCTCTCCCGAGAGACTGAAGTATTTGGGT